CGGACGAGGTCGGCCGAGGGGGCGCGCGCGGGGCGCTCAGAGCGGTCTCGCCGCGGCCCCACGGACGCCGAGTTTCCCTCCGCGGAGAGCAGGGGTCCTCGGCGCTGGGTCGCACGCGGCTGCAGAGGCCCCGCGGCTCAGACTTGGTTCCCTGGGGCGCGGGTCGTCCCGGGACGGGGGTTTGTGCGCTTCCCTGCGTCTCCGGGGCTGCCTGGTCGGCGCCTGGCCGCGCGCAAACTCGGGCGCTTGCGTGGCGCGGGGCGAGCCCGGCCTTGAGGGCTTCAGTGAGACCCGGGACGGCGCCGCCGGACGCGACGAGGCTGCGGGCCTGGAGGGCGCATCCTTGGCGCTCTGAAGCCTTGCACCTTCCCACCTGACGTTATCATAATTGGCTTCCCAGCAACTCCTGAGAGCCATAAAGAATTGTGCAGTCGGTCCGACCTCAGATCTCAAGATACAAGAAGCAGATTTAACCTTGGAACTGGGGGTGCCATGCTTTATCAGTGGGGTGAGTGGGGAGATAACCAGAACGTAGGGGGAACAGTATAAAGTACGCAAGGGTAAAAAAAAATTTAAAAAGAAGCGAGGTGTGGTGGTGCACACCTGTGATACCAGCCCTCCCGAGGAGGCAGAGCTGAGGCAGCAGGGGGCCGTGAGTTCAAGACCAGCCTGGGCTACGTAGTGAGCCCCTGTTTCAAAAACCTAAAATATAAAATAAAAACAAGTGCCTGGACGCACTGGAAGGCCAAGCGTTTGGCCTTCATTGAAGATGGAGAAAATAAGCCATGCGTCTGTGACCCCAAGCACAGAAAAACTCACACACTGTCCAATACCATCTTTTTCTAGCCCAGTGAGAACATTTTCTAGCCAGCTTTAAAAAAAAAAAAAAAATACTGTGTGTTCTGCTCAGCAAAGGTGTGGATCTTCTGGACTACAAGGACAGTGCCAAGTCCAGACCCCAGAGCTGTTCAGTGTGCCCTTCCCCATACATCATGAATTCTGGCCTGTTCACTGCCCGCTCTGCCTCCCCAAGCCTGTACAGCTTTTCTCTGAAATGAAAACCTTCCACTGTGGCAGGCTCTCCAGCCTCTACCCCCCGCCCCACAACTATCACTCCTCAAGCACTGTCGCTCGGGCTTGGCTTCCTCCAGCGTCATCTGTGACCTTCCAGTTGCCACATCCCTTTGTCTGTTTACAGTCCTTTTCTTTTTCAGTGGATCAGTAACATTCCACTGACGTGTGGCTCGGGGAAACTCTTTTCTTGTGATACTATCACTGAACCCAGTGAAGTGATCTTGGTCTAGCTCTACCCCAGAGAGGCTGCTTTTTCCCTGATGCCTCCTCCTCCCTATCTTCCCCTTCCCCGCTCCAAAGCTCAGCTATCTTCTGTGACAGGGACCTAGAGGCTGGGCCTGTGGATGCCCAATGGGTCACTAAAAGCAGGAGAAAGCTTGCTTGGTGTCTGTGCCTTCATTTTATGCATCTCCTTTTTTGCTGTTGTTGAGACAGGGTCTTGCTATATAGCCCAGGCTGGCCTTGAACTCACCTGGATCCTCCTGCCTCAGCCTCCCGTGAGTGCTGGGATCACAGATATGTGCCACCATGGTGGGCTGCCTCCCTCATTACCTTAAAATTGACACATATCCCCGCTCAGCTATGCACGCAGGCGTGCGACTCTTAAGGGATGTCTGTGTTGCAGGGTTTGTGAGCCCTGAGTTCACCCATCCTGTCCCAGCTCCCTCGACCAAGGTCCCCAAGAAAGGAGTAACTAAGAACTAAGGAGCATCTGCCTGCCAGCTTTTACCTCGTCCAGTTCCAGACCCCCCGGAGTGACACCTACTCATCTTAATCCATGTTTCTAAATGTGCAGCTGCCGCGGGTTCCAAGCAAAGCAGAAAGTCACAGGACACCCATTGGTGAAGTCACCCTAAGCAGGAGCAGTTAGTTACCCCATCACGACACAGACATGCCTCCCCAGGCAGGTTCTGCCACATCTGCCCTTGGCCTATTCCCCTTTTCTATAAAACCTCAGGGGTTTTGTCACCCTACAAAGACAGATCGTGACATGCTCTGATCCCCCGAGAGGCTCGCTGGTCAGAGCTACTGTCCTGCCCACGGCCCCAGCTCCTCTCCTGACGAGCATTTCGGGACAGGTGACCAAGCCTGTCTTCTGGGACCCACGGGGATGTGACTCTCACTTTAAAACCCGGGTGATGCTCATGGTTCCCACACCTCTCTCTAGACCAGACACACAGATGTGTCTGCTCTGGCTGGACAGCCCGCCAGGAGCGTTCTCCAGGAGTTGTACGGAGAGTGGCCGCTGTCCACAGGCCGCTGTGCGTCTGCGAATTCCAACAAGAAGTGGGTCAGAAGTATTCAGGGGAAGCCAGCATGGTGGGGCATGCCTGTAATCTCTGCACTCGGGAGGCTGAGGCAGGAAGAGGATAAGTTAGAGACTAGCCTGGGCTACATAGTTCAAGGCCAGCCTGGATTATATTATGAGACCCTGTCTCCAAAAAAGGAAAGAAATCTACTTTTAAAAATACAGGCCAGGTGTGGTGGTGCACGCCTGTAATCCCAGCACTCAGAAGGCTGAGGCAGGAGGATCGTTGCAAATTCGAGACCAGCCTGGGCTACAAAGTGAGCTCAAGGCCAGCCTCAGCTGCATAGCAAGATTCTGTCTCAAAAAGACCAAAAAAAAAAAATATATATATATATATATATGTATATATACATATATATGTATGTATATGTATATGTGTATATCTGGGGGTATATACTGTATCTGTATTGAACATGGACAGATGTTTTCTTGTTATTCCCTAAACAATGCCATATAACAGCTGCATCCAGCACTGACATCATATCAGGAATTATAAGCAGTCCAGGGAGGGGAGCGTGGGCAGGTTGGAAAGTCCTAGTACATTTTGCCTAAGGGTCTTGAGCATCGCACAGTTTGGGCATGGGGGGGGCAGGGTATCCCAGAGCCAATGCTCCTTGGTCAGGAAAGCTGGTTGCACAGTTCCACTGTGCCCTTGTTATTTGCCTCCTGCAAACCTGGTTTCTGTCTGGGTTCTCTCATTTTGCCACTGGAAACTTTGAAGTGGCCCTGAGTCCCTGTCCCCAGCACCCCCGTCTACTCTGTCACCTGTGGTCAACTTGCACAGGGGAAGTATTTCTGGAATTCTCTTCTTAGCAGACACAGCCACAGACTCACTTGCTTTTTTGTGACACCGTCAGAGACCAGCTTAGGGACAGACAGCAGACAAACTCCCGGGCCCATAACCTATTAGTCACTAAAAGCACCATCTGTTTTCTTCTGAGGCAATCGGGAATTTAAAAGCAGTTTTTGCTTAAAACAAAAACCAGACCCAAAAACAAAAAAACAGTGACTCAGCTGGGCAAGGTGGCACAGATCTATATTATCTGCACTCAGGAGGCTGAGACAGGAGGATCACAAGTCTGAGGCCAGCCTGGGCTACATAATGAATCCTGTCTCAAAACAAAGAAAGAACAAAAGCCAGTGATCCTGCATTCACACCTATACGTGTCCACTAGATAACTAACAAAATTCCTCCATTGCTATCCTTATCCTGCACTGCGGGAGACCTTGGGTGCGGTCCCTTCTTAGTTCTGCTGAGCAAATAGGAAGAATTTGTGCACTGACTAGCCCTCGGGGTCCACAGCCCTGATCTCCTCTCTCCACTCCCAGGGCTGCAGAAGAAAAATCAGCACGCTGAAGTGGCCAGCCTCACCCTGAAGCTACAGTCACCTGGACCCAGCATAGCCTCCCCGAGACAGAGGCTGCCCCATGGGAAATAATCTCCTATGGAGATGAGACTGCTCATCAAGCCACAAGGACTCTTCTAAAGCCATCTTGCAAAATCAGAGCCAAGGCAACGATCACCAGGCCCCAAGCCACACATCAAATCTGTAAAATCTGGTCTCCCTCCTGCTCACGCTTCAGGCTGACCTCCGTAGGAGCTGGGCCCCTCTGCCTCTTCAGCTGAAGTCCCCTCCATATTTTCTCTTCCTTTCTGACTCTGCCTAATAAATCTGCCTATGCCCATCAGTGACACTTACTGAAATTCTTTTGCTGAGCCAGGTGTGATGGTGCGCACCTATAATCTCAGCACTTGGGAGGCTGAGGCACGAGGCTGGTCATGAGTTTGAGGACAGCCTGGGCTACACAATGACTTCAAGGCCAGCCTGAACTGCATAGCAAGGTCCAGGCTCAAA